GAAGAAATAGTGTACCTGTTATTCCAAAACAGGAGGGCATCTCTGAAGAAGAAGAATTTTCTGAAAGATAAATGTGAAACTAGTGATGATCCCTACTTTCGTCCTGGAGGTCAACTTGGAAGTGAATCTGATCTTCTCTCAAATGCTGGAACTTTACAAAAACCATCTCCACTTACGCCTTCGTTTATACGACCACGATCAAAATATGAAAATGATTCAATATCATTAGAGCGGCGTAATTCTAACAGTTCTGTTGTTTCAACAAGTATGTCAATGTCTTCGGACTCTCTTAAAAAGACCAATCCATTCACTTTTCCGGTCACTCACATTACGGAACCACAACGTATGAAACGATCTCATAGACGCACTTCTTCAGTGACATTAAGTACTGTAGATGTAGAAAATATTACCCATCAAACACATCAAAGGCTCATTAATAATAATTTCCGTTGTTCATCACAATCATATAGTTTACGTCGATCAGTATTATCCAACACCATTGAGTCATACTCATTCATAGATAATGACCATGATACAAGTCGTGGTTCAAGCGTTAAATCAGTTAATTCCCTTAAATGGGTCGGATTTAATGATTCAATTACTGATATTCAAAATGGAAGAAAATTGTCTTTACATGTACGAAATGATTTTAATCGGAAGAGCAATGATATTCGTGAATCAAATTTACAAGATGAATATATAATTCATGGTGATTATATTGATACCACAAATAGAAGTAATGCAAGTCAATATTATAATGGAAGAAATAGTGTACCTGTTATTCCAAAACAGGAGGGCATCTCTGAAGAAGAAGAATTTTCTGAAAGATATGGAAATTATGAAAGTAGTTCCGAGCGTACTTCTAAAGAAAGTGAATCAATTGACAAGTTCAGTTATCACTCAATCTCTTCTCAAAGTTCAATATATTCAAGTGACTCTGAAGATAAAAGAAAAGTCAGAAAATCAAAGCGGTCATCTAAAAGAACCAGTAAAGTGTCATTTGCTCCAACTGACGAAAAAATTGAATTTGATGAATCAGAATCATCAAAAAATGTTTATTTAGCCCGTATGTCTGCGCGATCGAGTCAAAGTAGCACGTCAAGCAATTAATAATTATCAATTCTCGTTCGTAAATCCTTCCGCAAAAATTTTATAACTAAAAAAAAAAAAATCCTTTACAAAGAAAAAACAACTTGTAATATTTCCTTTTTTTTTCTTTTTTTTTTTTGTTATTACAGAATTGTATTCACCCTTACTCCATCTTCTTTTTTTTTTGTATTCTTTTTATTTGTCACTCTTTTCTTGTTTTTAACTGGATCCAATTCCATTTAACAACTTTCGTACATATTCTAATTGGAGCCGTGTAGATAATAAATATTTTCAAATCAAAATCCAATTATCATCATTTCCGACTCCTCTTGTTTTCATTATTCGCCAATTTTTCTTATTATAAAATTTGTTCTCGAAATTTTCTTTCATAACAATTATTGAGGTTCCTTGACTTTAAGACAATTTTTTTTTTTTTTTCATGATTTATTTGATCAAAAATAATAACTTAGTAGAGACCTTTTAACATAACATTTTTTGTTCATGATACATTTCTTTTATAATAGATATTGTATCAACAGAAAGGTTTTTCCTTTGGTTTACTCTTTCAGAATATTTCTTATTTCCAATTGATCATGGAAATGAGAATTTACACAAATCAATAAGGTTATCGATTTGCGTATAACAAAAATCGGGAACTTGAAAGAAAAAAAAAAAAAAAATCTTTGTTTATATATTTGTATCTTTATTTTTTTAAAAAAATAAAAATAAAAATAAAATAAAATAAAAAATAAAATAAAAATTTTTAATCTCGTGTGAAATTGTTATTATTATGTCTTTAAGACTTACGAAAAATTATCGCATTTTTGTTTATTAGTTTATCAAGTGCATATTTCCGATCTCACATATTTCGTATTACTAACTACATGTTTGATAAATAGAAATCTATATTTATTATGATATATTCTAATGTTTAATGTTTGAATTTTTTTCCAAAAGCATTTCAACTAAATCCGACGGTACATTCGCAGACGTCCCACCTAGTCGTTCAATCACTAATTTTGGACGTGTCCGATGAACATGATCATAAACGCACTGATAATTAGGTTTTACATCATCAAATCCGGAAGGTCTACCAAATTTTTCATCCCAAGCTTGGACTAGACGCAAACAAAATTCACTACCACATGTTTTGCTTAATTTCTTTCTACACTCTTGACATTGTATAAATAATAAATTGCAAGTTTTATTTCTACAATTCGTGTGAGTATCACATGGTTCACCACAAGTATGGCATTGAGAAACTACATCGTTGGTGATCGGTTCTCCAAGACGTTTATCAAATGTAAAGTTACGACCTTTGTATAATGAAGTAATTAGTGGATTTGAAGCAACGTAACGACCATATGCTGTAATTCCACCCTTTAGAACATAGACAGACTTAAATCCATTTGAGAGGAGTATTGCTCCAGCCTTTGAACATCGAATGCCACCTAGGAGTCAGACATTAAATTTCAGTATATTTCTCCGTGCTTGGTTTGTATTCGATGAACGAGAGATTTTGTGAAAATAACGTCCATATTTACCAGTACAATACATATAAATATCCTCATTTTGTTTTCCTTCAAGTATCTTATTCATAGAAATTATGCTGTCGCGAAAAGTATCCACATCGTGACGAATAGAATTTTCAAAATATCCAATTTCACTACAAAGAGATATTGTTTATTAAAGTGTTAGGCATAAAATTTATACTACACATATTTTACCTTTCATAGTGATTTCTCATATCAATTAGAATTATTGGTGTTTTAGCATTAGACAACGCGGTATGCCATTCAGCAGGAGAAAGATGCTTCGGTTGATTAGACAAATCGTAAGATCCTTTTTCTAAACCATCAGAAACAATCTAAAAATTTGTCAATCGTCTCTATACAATCCAACCGAAAAAAAACATAGATATGTTACTGCACAAACCTGATTTCTGATTTTAACATTTAATTTTCGAAAAGCTTTCACGTGATTTGTTGAAAAGTTAAATTCTACATCCTCTAGCTTCAATTCTTGATTGCAAAATTTTCTCAAGTTATCCAATTGTTCAACTGGACATGACAATTGAGCATTGATACCTTCAGTCGCGATATATATCCTACCAACTATCCCCATTTCACCAAACTTGGATAAAAGTAATTCACGTGTTTTTGGTAGATATGAATCGGGAATTACACGAAATGAGTAGAATGATAAAGTTTTCCAATCGATAACAGGGACATTTTTTGGCTGTGAATTTTGCTCATGGGCATTGGTACAATAATTGTAACGGTGACCTAATAAACAGAGAAAATTTTCGGTTGAAATATAACCAATTCTTATATGACGCGTTTCTAGTCGTCTGCAAAATACTTTTGAGAAGTGTAAAAATGGTTTATTTTGCGTTATCACACTTTGGGAACGCAAAGTCACTGGATTAAAATTATATGAAAAAGAACGAACTAACGCTCTAAATAAAGTTTGAAAACTTTGCATAACGTTTGCAAAAAAATAATATATTCGGATCAGCGTTATATCTGTATAAAGATACGCAGCATTGGGATAATCAAAACCAAACCGAATGGGAAAGGTTTGAGAATCGGCTCCAAACCTAATTTGAAACCCGCATATTCCAAACCTCAACGACCGCATTATAACCGTGATGCGTATTATTAAACACTTTACATCTCGTTATCTATACTTTTATGAACTATCGTGATAGGTATTAAAGAAATCAAACAACATAAAATCTTGATAACAAGAATATCTTCATTCAATAGGTATATAGGTAACTTGCACAGCGATTAATCGATTGATAATTTTATGGGTGAGTCTCCGGACACCTACCAGGTCACTTATATCAATTCTATGAATTAATAGAATTCATTTAAAAAAATTCTCATCGAATTCTATCGAGTAGTTGTTGAGAAATTTTTGTTCAAAGTTGGAAAATTTTCACTGCCTCCTAAGAAAATAGCCACAGCAGAAATTTTTTAACTTTAAACGAAAATTTCTCGGAAATTACGCGACAGAATTCGATGAAAATTTTTTTAAATGAATTCTATTATTTTATAGAATTTATTTTTTAAAAAAATTATATCAGATAGTTGCGAGAAATTTTTGTTCAAAGTTAAAAAATTTTTGCCGCAGCAATTTTAGAAGGCGGTAAAAATTTTTAAAAACTTTGAATAAAATTTCTCGACAACTACCCGACAGGATTCGGCGAAAAATTTTAAAAAAAATTCATATCAAATTTTATAAGATAGTTGTCGAGTAATTTTCATTCAAGTTTAAAAAATTTTTTTTCTGAGATGGTGAAATCCTTCCGAAAATTTCTCGACAACTACTTGATATAATTTGTTGAATTTTTTTAAAAAAATAAATTCTATTAGTTTCTAGAAATTATTTAAAAAATTTCTATCGAGTTCTATTAGATTGTTGTCGAGTAATTTTGTCCAAAAATTAAGAAAAATTCTACTTCGATA